ACAGTCCATGATGGATGGTCTAACAGTCCATGATGGATGGTCTAACCAGCCACAATGGATGGTTTAACAGTCCACGATCCATCGTTCTCTGTTTTTGGACTGATGACAGCAAACGGCACACACGAAAAATTGATGGATTTCACATGTGAAACAGAACAGAGTACAGAAGCACCTAAGAAAATGGCTGCCAACGATCTCGTCTAGCGCCGTCAGTGGTCATTTCAATGTATTACATCAAGTCTAAGTCTTAACATTTTATTGCATTAAATATTGTTTGGGATATTTATCTACATATTGCATATACGTATTATAATGTATTTTAATTATGCTAGGCGAAATGGATTTTCTGCGCAGGCAAAATGCGAAGCTACCCAACTGTCTAATGAGGCCCTCGTTTGTGGGAGGCGGGGCGGCCTTGTTGACTCCACCCACTTTTTCAAGACCGGAAAATGGACAGTTCGAAACTGTCCTCTTCATAAATCACGACGAACCGGAGGAAAACGGCAACATCTCGAAGGAGCGTCGGAGCAGCGTCGGCGGAGAGTCTGTTTGGACCGAACCGGGCCTCTAACCTCTGTTGGACGAACCGGAGGAGGGTTTAGGTCGCTCGGTTAGCTCTCGCTAACTTTCGTACGTCGAGATTGTGTCGCTGGTCCCGGTTGCGCAAAAAGACGAGCTGCTCAGCGGGTTAATATTTCACCATGGGGTCAAGAGCATCCACCTTACTTCGAGAAGAAGAGATCGAAGAAATCAAGAGGGAGACGGGCTGTAAGTTGTCAGTCTGCTCCTTGTGTAGGGTTCACGTGTTGTTGTTTGCTCTCCTGGTTGTGTTTGTTGTTGTTTTCTGTCCTGGTTGTGTTTGTTGTTGTTTGCTCTCCTGGTTGTGTGTCTTGTTGTTTGTTGTCCTGGTTGTGTGTCTTGCTGTCCTGGTTGTGTGTCTTGTTGTTCTGGTTGTGTGTCTTGTTGTTCTGGTTGTGTGTCTTGCTGTCCTGGTTGTGTGTCTTG